GTGGGATGACTCCACGTCCTGCTACATACGCCTAAGCGACGCAACACTGCAAGGGACGCGATTTGCGACACCTTACACGACTGCATGACCCCACTGGCAATATTTGAGACAGGATAAGATTTGATATCTGTTTGTTATTTGTTGAACACCACACTCAACAATATTCCAACTATATAACGGCGGTATGTAAATAATCGAGAATGGACCAGACATTCCAGTGATTGACAAAAGGAGCGATTGGGATACGTGCCATGCATCAATCAATTCAAAGAGCGAATGCCCCTCCCCTTCTGAGGCTGTGGAATGAATAATTATCAGTTGGCAGGTCATATTTTTCCAACAAGCGTCTGATCATGAAGTTACGTTTAGGCTCCATTGGTCACACCAAATGCTGGCTCCTGTTGTAAACCAGGAATCATGTCCGTTATCCGACAGAATGCTCTCACTGGACAATAGGAATTCTAGATATTGGTATGAACTTCATTGGGAGCATTTGGGGATCATCAATAAAAGGTTAGTATTTAAGATATCTTTACTTCTAGATGGTAGTAATCAAAGGTTAGGCATTATCTATAAGCATCTGAGCAGTAATTATTATATTTACATTAAATCATAAACTAACGGGCAAAATATACGCCACCAAACAATTTTCTGGTCTAAAACAAAACAGACGCAAAATTTAGTTACAGTTTATGTTTTATTATGAAAAAACAATTATTCAAAAACGGGATTTGAAAATGACAAGATCAAAACCATGTATCGACAAATCACACAAGTTCGATCGACATGTAACTAGAGTGTTCGCCTGGAAAGCGGAAGGTACGGGGTTCGATCCCCGGCCGCGTCATACCAAAAGACGTTAAAAGATGGTACTTGTTGTTTTACCCTGTCTGGCGCTCGGCATTATATAATTATAAGGGGCTAAAACAAGGACCGATCGGCTCGGAGTCAGTATTCTGTGTCTGAGTGGGGTATTCATGTTAAACTGCGGCATGGCATCTCAGTGTGCTAGCACTATAAATCGGCATTAGTCCGGACATGCACGTCGCTATATAAGTGCAATAATCTTGGATGCGACGTTAAACCACCTCACCTCGATCGGCCATTTTGAATGATATTTCTAGCGATATGTAACGAGAAATTACGGTACCTGCAGCTTTGATCGTCTGGCAACACCGCTTGGACCGGTAAATGTTTCGTGTAAAGTTACCCAACGTAAGTAATAGCTCATATTCAGCAAACAGCTACTTTTTAACCCGAGATCACTAATGTAACTTGATCAGCTCAAATAAAATGTAAATTGTAATAAATTCAAACGTTGTAAATCGACGGCACATCCATCGTCTGCTTGTTTACTTTCATGTAAATGTCACGTGAAACAAGTAAGGGTCATTTCTTATTGAAAACTTTATGCTTTTTGAGAACTTCAGTCTCTGTAGTTTTGATGATATATAAAATAAAGCTTATTTTTTATAGGTTTTGACGAATGGTGAACCAACTAGAAGAGGCCAATATAGGCAATATTTGTCTGCCGCCCTAGACAAGGCATATAATGCTGTTTTGGATGGAGTGGCAATTAGGAAAGCTGCCACTACCTTTGCTGCTCCATTTGCTACACTTCATGACATGATTAGTGGGAAAATTCTATTGAATATAGTACCACTGGTAGAGAACCACTATTGTTCATAGAGGAAGAACAGGGACTTGTTTCACATATTGACGCCATGGCAAATTTTGGGTATTGCTATACTAGGGCTGAAGTTGCTACTATTGCCACAGACCTAGCAATATATGTTGGGAAGAAGTTAAAGGATGAACAACCCCTATCACTTCAGTGGTTCCATGGGTTTATGAAGCGATGGCCTGATCTATCAGTGAAGAAGCCACGACCCATTGAGATACAGAGAGCGGAAGCTACCTCAGAGGAGACCGTCACTCATGATTTTAATGAGCTTGGTCACATCATGGATATCAAGTACAACCTGAGGACATGCCCTCATCGCATTTATAATGTTGACGAAAAGGGACTTGTGGAGAATCATACCCCACCATCAGTAGTCACGTCGAGTCAGAGTACTCTAGCTGCAGTGATAACATCAAGATCAAGTACTACAACTGTTATAGGTTGCGGCAATGCGTCTGGTAGTTCTATACCACTGTATTTTGTATTTTCTGCATCCTGATACTGGTGATATTGATTCAAGTGTGCCAGTTGGAGACAAGGTTGTCACTTCACCTACTGAGGGCAATGATGTAGCAGGATTCTTTGAAGACAAGACGACTGTACTTTTCAAGAAAGCTGTGCCTACTAAAAAGAGAAACGTTCTGAGCGCTGTTGTCGGGGGCAAGGCCATCACCGAAGACGTCATTCTGAAAAAAATTATTTCCCACCAGACTGTGAAATCGCCCCCCCCCCCCCCCCCCCCCCCCCCAAAAAAAAAAGAGGAAGAAAAAAAGAAGCTAGCAAGCACCTAAACCAAGTAAACCTACTGTCACTGCAACGAATGCAAGTACTTCTGGAACTTCACGGACCAACGCGCATAGTTTTGATTCGTACGATAGTGATGTGACAAATGATGACGAACTCTGCTGCAAATGTAACCAATTTGTACCTGATGAGGTTCGAGCTAATGTCTCACTGATCATTACAACCTGGGCACAATTAATGTACCCACCCTACATGTCAGCACTGGACACATTTACGTTTCTGCACGCCAGTTCGTTTTGTGCGTCGACATTCTGAGTTTTGGTGCCCCTGTCATGATGAGCCTGAAGAATAACTCCCTGCATCAAACCTTGTAAATAATCTGGATATTTGTGACTTTTCATCGCTTTTTTTCAATATCAAAACATAAAACGAACGTTAGATGGACAAAGATATCATAAAACAACTGTGGACAGTTCTAATTCGGATTTTGACACAAGAGCTCGTCCAAATATGTCATCCCGGTTACGCGACAAGCCAACCAATCAAATGATAGAACTTGTTCTGGGTCCATTCTGTTGACAGTGAGAGGGCGGCCATGCCGAGAAATACCTGGAATTCGGAAATGTTTGTCATAAATACACAAGTTTACAGGTAAGATATTTGAAAAAAAGATTATATGAATATTACTATGAATATTCAGCGACTTTACGTAAGTGATCGAACTTCCATGACACGAGGATACTTAAAGTTCTGCAGACACGTTTATCACGCCGGGTGCACTGTCCAGTATTCGATCACACCCGCAGAATCGATCTCTTTTAAAGTCCCGTGCTACACACATGGCTCAGTATCGGATGTGACCCCCTCCAGCAACGATGCATGCCCTAACATGACGTCGACGTTGAGTACACGAGTCTCCTGACATCCTGATTAGCGGTCCTACGCCATTCTTCATGAAGGCTACTCTGGACCTTTGGTGAAGCACCCGTAAATGTCTTCCTGTGGGGTTGTGACCTTGGGTCTTCCACTCCTCGGCCTGTCTGCAGTACTGCCAGTTTGCCTGTGACGTGTGACAAGTCTGTCGATGGTGCACTTAAAGCAGCACATGATCCTGGCAACGTGGTTCTGCGTCGATCCCATTTGCAACATACCGAGGGCTCTCTCATTCTGCTCTGCAGTTAGTAGCAATGCTCAGTCAAATTTAGAATTTTGCATATTGTGTTAACAAATCGCTTCTATCCTCCTTTGAACATTTTAGCGTATTTTTTAATCCACAAGACATCCTTGTAACATGAGAAATCCAAAAATAATTTGATGTATATATTATATACTTATACAAATATGAAATAATGTCGCCCAAATAAGCCAGAATCAATAATAGTAACAGTAATAGTAACAAACAGAAGATTAATACATTCATGAAGCTTGCGAATACACTCGGTTAGAAACTCGGACCCAAAGAAACCGTACATGTGAACTGGAATATCTAACCAAATCAACATTAGCATACCATGTAGACCATATATGGGTTACTATGGCAACCGTCAGACTAATCGGTAGGGTAGTCTATGACATGTTTATAACTTTAGTCAATAAGAATCACAATCAACAAATTATGTTTGTAATGAATTAGCAATAAACAACATTTAAGACATTCCTAAGCAGGACTCAACTCAACACAGAAAATACCACAAACATGCTGACTAAAGCAATACTGCCATGTTTACATTTTACATGGGTGGTTGGGGAAAACATATCTGATGTTTCATTGCAAGACAAGAGGATAACAAACGTATCTGAAAAAATACAATAGAATGTTAAACAATGATTCAAAAAATGATTTGTAAAAAGGGAACTTCTTTTATCAATGCATCCTTTTATAAGGTCATAGAAATAGCTCAAAGAGTTTATTTGTCTTTATTTGTTTTTACCAGTTGTAAATCTTGTACAATCAACAAAATATTCCGTCTGATACAATTCACCAAGAGATAACAAGTTCAGATAAATAACAAGTATCTATTGATGTATAAAACCAACCCAGCCAATAGACTGAATAAACTGGCAGCTACAATTATGAAGGCTTATGAAATGTACTGAGGACAAATGTAGTATCAACCTACACTGCTCACAAGAAATCAAAGATCACTGATTTACCAAACTTTTAACATGTATTTACCAAACAGTATGTACTATATCCATGTACATACAATCGATTAGTATAATCAATAAGTATATTGTGTTATGACAGGCATATGCATAAGGCGTAAAACTAATCCACCATAGTATGTGTATATACAAACGTAAAAAAATGAAATATAATATTTTCAATCAAAGTGTGGTTGAACATGATACAGCTTCTCCATGTATACCTATGTATATGTCCTGACTGCAAACAAAATGAATTACTCAAGAGGTGCAATGTCCACATTAAACATATAAAATCATTCAAACTGAAGACTTGTTGCATCTTAATTGTGCCAACCATTAACCTTCTATTAAAACCATCCCTTACTTTCATATACACCAAAATACATATTATCAAAATGTACTACGTCTGAAAAGCTAAAATAATTTTGAAACATATACATGTACACAGATAGGAATTACGCAACACTCGTTTGTAAGCAAGGTAATTCTTACTTAAAATTCATTGAAAATACATCTATTAGTTACAAACGTTCGAAGTTATGATAGTGATTATCCAGTCATAATACACGAACATCATGTGTATATTACATACTTTTTCTGTTTTTGAAATGAAAGACAAATATCACCTTATGCTGTCCAGATAAGGATTTGCATTGCTTGTAATATATGTACTGGTCATTACTTCTTTGTGAATGGGAATGTTTGTCCAGTCGCGTACGATTTCACAAAATATTTATAGAAAGTGGAAGCATTGATGACTTTATGCATGTTGGACATTCACGGTACAGAATCTGCCACGAAATATGTCCTAAATGTCACGCACTAGAAATGCATCATGTCTGCAACAATGGCTAGTTTTGGGTAGGACAATTGCCTATCTTGTCAACACATAATCAAGTTCCTTTTTGTGACATTGATCTAATGGACGTCCATATTCCCTTCAAACATTCCCTTCCACAGGTTTTTAGTCTTTTCTTGCATTTTCAATTTCGTCTTTTCTGATGATGAATAATGAGGTCTTGGCCTCGACGAGCCAAACTCTGACTCCTCTGACATTTTTCCTCCAGATAACGGAAGTTCTTCAAGAGGTATGTTGCCTGACATTTTAGCAATGTTCAAAGGGGTTCTGTCACTGTGGTCTTCAGCATTGCGATCTGGACGTCTGCTGAGGATTGGATGTATTTTTGCTTTTTTATCCTTTTCAGGATCATGAGAATATCCAGGTGTAACAAAAGATATTTCTGGTCTTTTCCTGAATTTTACCCAAGTACCAAAATGTGTTGGTGTTACAGCTTCTTCAGCATTGCGATCTGGACGTCTGCTGAGGATTGGATGTATTTTTGCTTTTTTATCCTTTTCAGGATCATGAGAATATCCAGGTGTACCAAAAGATATTTCTGGTCTTTTCCTGAATTTTCCCCAAGTACCAAAATGTGTTGGTGTTACAGCTTCTTCAGCGAGGTCCAATGCTGATTTTCCATTTCTATTTGTAATTTTGACATCAGTCCGTAAAACACTCAAAAGGACTTTGACAGAACCGTTATCATTATTCTTTACACAAATGTGAAGAGGCGTATTACCATCTTCGTCTTGAGCATTGACGTCAGCTCCAGCAGCAATCAGTTGTTCTGTGAAGCTCTCGCGGTTGACTGCGGCTCTATACATGTGATGCCGGTTTTCACAAACAAGATGCAGCGCTGTTCTACCCAGTCGATTTTTTGAATTAACATTTGCCCCAGCTTTGAGCAGTGGTGAGATATCCCATTCTCTCTCTACAGCCATCATCAGAGGCGTGTTACCTTTTTCGTCTTGAACATTGACGTCAGCTCCAGCAGCAATCAGTTGTTCTGTGAAGCTCTCGCGTGTGACTGCAGCTTTATACATGTAATCCTGGTGTTCACAAACAAGATGCAGCGCTGTTCTACCCAGTCGATTTTTTGAATTAACATCTGCCCCAGCTTTGAGTAGTGGTGAGATATCCCATTCTCTCTCTACAGCCATCATCAGAGGCGTGTTACCATCTTCGTCTTGAGCATTGACGTCAGCTCCAGCAGCAATCAGTTGTTCTGTGAAGCTCTCGCGGTTGACTGCGGCTCTATACATGTGATGCGGGTGTTCACAAACAAGATGCAGCGCTGTTCTACCCAGTCGATTTTTTGAATTAACATTTGCCCCAGCTTTGAGTAGTGGTGAGATATCCCATTCTCTCTCTACAGCCATCATCAGAGGCGTGTTACCATCTTCGTCTTGAGCATTGACGTCAGCTCCAGCAGCAATCAGTTGTTCTGTGAAGCTCTCGCGGTTGACTGTGGCTCTATACATGTAATCCTGGTGTTCATAAACAAGATGCAGCGCTGTTCTACCCAGTCGATTTTTTGAATTAACATTTGCCCCAGCTTTGAGTAGTGGTGAGATATCCCATTCTCTCTCTACAGCCATCATCAGAGGCGTGTTACCTTTTTCGTCTTGAACATTGACGTCAGCTCCAGCAGCAATCAGTTGTTCTGTGAAGCTCTCGCGTGTGACTGCAGCTTCATACATGTAATCCTGGTGTTCACAAACAAGATGCAGCGCTGTTCTACCCAGTCGATTTTTTGAATTAACATTTGCCCCAGCTTTGAGTAGTGGTGAGATATCCCATTCATTCTTTACAGCCATCATCAGAGGCGTGTTACCTTTTTTGTCTTGAACATTGACGTCAGCTCCAGCTGCAATCAGTTGTTTGTCGTTGCTTTGTCTCGCGTTGATGGGTCCATGTGCATACCAGTCATGTGGGTGTTCACCAGCAAGATGCAGCGCTGTTCTACCCAATCCATTTTGCGAATTAACATTTGCCCCAGCTTTGAGCAGGGGTGAGATGTTTTTGTTCTTCTTAACTGCCAACATCAGAGGTGTATTGCCTTGCTTATCTGTAACATTCACATCTCTGCTGCATTCAATAATCTTCACTACTGCATCATGTTCAGTGGTAGTATTCTTGATGTTTGTATTTCCAGCAACTGTATGGAGGGGTGTGTCTATTTCCTTGTTCTTGGTATTTGCATTTGCCCCAGCATCCAAAAGAATGATAGCAGCTTGTGTGAAGTTAGATTTGATTGCACTCTGAAGTGGAGTATTACCTTCACTGTCTGGTATGTCCAACACTGAAGATGGTGCTTCACTAGCTCCATTATCAGGTTTACATGTATCTCCAGATGACTGTGTGACAGGCTTTACTCTCAGGTGTTTCATCAGTCTGTATGTCTCAGTGACACCATCAATTTTCCGGTTAGGCTTATTCACCCCAAATACATGGTGCAACGGAGTTTGACCATTTTCATGAACAGCATTTGCATCAGCGCCTTCACTCAGTAATGCCACTATAACATCAAACCTCTGTGATGAAGCAGCCACTTGTAGTGGCGTGAGATTTTGTCTGTTGAGGGCGTTGACATCCGCTCCTTGTTTGACCAAGAGATGTATAAGGGAAGATATCTCTATCTTTTGATTGGCTGTAGGATTGCTCTCTTTTGCTCCAAACTTTCTTGCAAAGAGTTCAACCACCTCCAGGTTCCTCTTTGTGACAGCAAGATGTAGTGGTGTGCATCCAACCCTGTTAACCACTTCAATGCTGGCTCCTCCTTCTACGAGCAGTCTGGACAAGGACACACCTGTTTGCCCTGACATTACTGCATAATGAAGAGGAGTGTTTCCATGACGATTTTGATCATTTACAACACAGCCTAATTTTAGATTTAAAATTACAGCAGCCCTATTTCCTATTCTAGCCGCTTGGTGGAGCATGCTGCAACCATTTTTATCCTTCCTGTGAATGTCAGATGTATATTCTGTCATCCAATGTGTGGCTTCGTTTTCATCTTCAAACTCTGAAACAAAATAGCAATATCAAATTAGGTAATGGAAATCGAACTTTATAAACACATCAATGGTAACAATGCAGACTTACATGTTTGATTCAGCTAAGTTGATTATTCCATTATCGTTTTGTCAGTTTCTTTCATTCGATTTGCGTTTGGAATGTTGCAAGTCAGAACGAACCTTATTTGCTACAAATACACAACAACCAAGCTTCATTTGTTTTTTCAAAGCTAAAGAAATGTTCAAGGATCTTTTTAACAGTGCATGTTTATACATAATGCAAAATAAATATTGTCCAAAAGTTGTTTGTTTTATTGAAAAATAACTCATATACTTCCCTTGCTCCTGTTCTAAAGCTAAATTTAATATAAATAAATGTACACGTTAGGATATATTTGCTACCATGCAGTATGTAGAAAGCACTTTTCTTGCATCAAACAATTCGACATAAGTATGGTAAGAATGGTAAGCTAAACTACATATAGCATTTAACATAGTGATGCTTATATCAGTCTAAAATGCACCGTTATATGCCATAATGCCAATAATATAGTTCGTGAATATATTATTATGACTGTATTACGACTTTCACGTGCAAACTGAGCATTTGCTTTGAATACCATGAGCATGATGAGTATCTCATGAAATGAAAGGTGATATTAAGCAAATTACAATGCTACTGTGTATTTACCGAATATATCAACATCCAGAGGTGTGAGTGGAAGAGATGCACTGATGCTGACTTCCATCCGGGTGCCTTTTGGCAGTTTAGCAATGATGTCTTCACACAGGATCTTAGTGATGACCTGTCTCAGCCAAACTGGGCCAAGTTTTGTGCCAGGCTCCACTGCCACTCTGATGATGACAGATCCCAGACTAGTAGACTCCACTCTGGCATTGTGTTGTTTCAGGGAGATGTTGATGTTGTCGATGTTGTTGTCGATGTGCCTCTTGATTTCCACACACAATTCGTAGTCTGTGTCAGGCGTCTTTACGGTCAACTCGTAGCCCTGAATCGATGGGCCTGAAACAAGAATTTACAAAACCAACCTCATTGAAATCAGATCTTAGTTCTCCTTCCGCTTAACAAAGAACTGAGGACATCCCATTACGGGTCACGTCAGACTGACCTTGTGCGAACTTTGACCGACCAATGGAATGACCAATCAGAAGGAAGCTTCTCGTGCTTTACGTCACTAATTTCAAATTGGCGACTACGTTTCGAAACATATTTTGACAAATTCTCGATTACAAATTTGAAACCTAAACAAAAGAACGTTCTGGAATGGCTAATAGATGGTCTAGATTGTAAGGATTCAGTCGTTAAACCCGTAACTATCGTTTGGAATACCCCGTTTTAAAGTTTTCGAAATTACATGATTAGAAATCACATTCTGACTGTCACTTTCATAATCTGGTAAGCGACACTCTGATTGGTCGGATGAAAGGTCGTTCTGACGTGACCACTTATGGGAATCCTTTACTGGGTTTAGATCTTTGTTTATCGGTAGCGAAAACTAAGGTCTGATTTTAATGAGATTGGTACAAAAGATCATATTTATTGTATATTTATAATCCTGCTAAAATAATTTTGACATAGTTTATAATGGCCAACTTTGCCCAAAACGGCACTTGAAGGTGTTTGTTTTCCCAGTTTCAATTTATTCTTCAAATAAAATTTGTACTCTTTCTATAGATCCCCTGTATGTATGTCCCCAAATTTCACAACCATGATATAGAATGGGTCCAATTTTTGAATCAAACAAAGCAACAATTGTCTTCAAAGATATATCTGGATAAGTTTTCATGAGTTGAAATAACGGAAAACATGACTTTCTGGCTTGTAATGATATAGTCTCACAAGCTTTAGACCAGATTAACCTGGAAGAAAATATAATGCGAAGTTGCTGACATTTCCATAGATTCATAAATCCATTTTCCACTTTTTTAGATACCCGCAATTTCTGAAAACAATAATTTTAGTCTGTTTTCAGTCGTACAAATGGGTATCTCTCATACCCTCACTTCTAGTCGCACATTTAAAAGGAAGCCAGAAGCTGCAATGTAAACATTAAACTTGGTTCCCGGTTGCGCACGCACCTCCCTATGACATGTCACAAATCTCTCAGCGCGCCTCTGAGACTGTTCGCTCGAGAAAGACTGTCGCGGTAGACTGCTAGTTTGTATTCTACTAGTACTTATCGCTTGTCTACAGTTGTTGTTCTAATAAAGTAATAATAATATGTCTTACCTGTAGACTCCTGGAATGTAATCCTTGGTAATCCATTGTTTGTGTTCAACACATGTTTCACTGTTTGACTTGATTATACACGTGACATCATGTAGGGCATTTGTGCCTCATGTCAAAGAAAACTGTCTAAAGTAGATCCCCACAAGTATTGACCTTCTTGCATCATTAAGGACGGGTTTTCAACGTGTTCGTGGGATAAACGTTGTAAAGAATGTGAGCACTTGTCTTCTATAAACTTTAACTTGTATCTTCGTGTGTTGGCGAAGCAGGCTGCTGACCAGCGCTACAAGCAGAGAAGGACATCGGTTGGATCCTTGGACTCTGCACCCTCCACATCCGGCCCTGGGAGTGGCGAGTCAGCCACACCCAAGAAATCAGTTAATAAAGACCAGCCTCAGTCAACTTCTGTTTTCGACAAGACACGTGACCGTTCGCCTGCTGATGATACTACCCGCACGACTGATCTTCGTCAATCAGTTGATCAAAAGCGTCACTCAGCCACCCTTACGACGGGACCGGGTGGTGACGAGGACCATGAGGGGACTACGGTCCCTAGTCGGTCCGTATCTTGTTCTACCAACGACGATAGGGACGTCGTACGGGACGACAGTGAACACACATCGCTCTCTAGAAGTCGTTCCCGTTCCCGGGATGACAGGTCGAGTGCCTCGTCGAGAGACAGTAAATGTTTAGACAAGAGGACGTTCATCGCCTCCGTGGTCGTCGGGAGTAGGATTCGGACGATAACTACGATGGGGATAGTAGTACTTCTACAGTTAGAGATCGTAGCCCTCATCCCCACGAGTATGTGCGACGTTCTCGCAGGGAGTTTCTGGGAAATCAGTGTCGTAGAGATAATGACCTGGCTTTGATAGCCCGGATCATGGCGGCGGTACTCGCCTCAACGGCGTCGACCAAGAAGGATTCGACTCTGTGGGGGTCCATGGACCGTCAACCAGTACACCAGCTCCTTCATCTACGCCTACACAATCGACGTCGACGATGGATTGTGACGACCGCCTAGGCCTCCAAAAGGCATTGAGTTGTTTGCTTGGCTATCTAACTTTCTGCCTGAGTTATCAAAAGACGATGACAAACTGACGCGTGCTGGCTTTAAGGTCGGAGATACACTGCAGTCTCTTCAGTTTTGTCCTCCTGATGCCTTCAGAGCCATGACTAAAGATATGGACCAGAACTTTGCCTCTGCTCTGCCTGGGCAGAGTTTCAGCAAGCCGCCTGTTCGATCTCGTTACCCGATTTATGGCATGCCGTTTTCGTCACCCATGAGTAGGGACTTGGATTGGGATCTACTCTTCAAGAAACCAGCGCCCTCCAAGATTCTTGTAGAAGACAGGCATTTGGAATCCATGGACACTGCTGTTCGTCACCAGCTACAACCGCTTGTTATGCTGTCGACAGCGATCAAGGCCCTCTCAGTGGGGAGAAAGAACCCCAGGAAGAGGACGAAAGGACGGTGCCATCGGTCCTCACCTGTATGCAATGGTGGATCTCGGACGTCCTTGCCCAGTCCGAATATGTATCAGACCAAATTACTACGGCACGTCGCCATGGTTACATCAACTGCACTGAACTACCTGATCGTCATGGCAGGACACTCTTACGGGCCCCGTAAGGCCACCGGTTTCGAACGCCCCAGGACGACATTACAGAAACAAGAATATGCAACGGGCGTTTCGTAGGGACATGCCTCGACAGCCGTCCAGCAAGAGAGATTTGGACAGGAAAGGTCTCCAGGTCTCCTTTTCAAATTATCCCAGAGGCGGAAAGAGTCAGCGGGGAAAGAAGTGAGGAGTGAGAAGTGGTGACACTACCTTTAGAAGAGCTACCGGTAGGGGGGACTTCATCACTATGTGCACAGGTGGGCTTTCCTCAACGACCCTTAGGTTCAGAACATTTTGACAACAGGCTACGCCCCACGCCTGAGATCGATGCCACCACTGACGTTATTCCCGGCATTCCACACTCCACCAACGGATCGGCTGAGGGAGGCCATCGATTCGTTGGTGAAGAAGGCGGCAGTACTTCGCCTAGGGACATTGGCACCATCGCCGGGGTACTACTCGCCTATCTTTCTAGTACCGAAGAAAAACTCCACAAAGATGTGGCTTATTTATAATCTCAAAAAGTTCAATGCAACATACCTCCAACAACCCGACACATTCACCATGATATCGCTCAGCTCTCTGCGTCAGATGATATTACCGAACGACTTGCTCGTATCGATAGACCTTCAGGACGCGTATCTCCATGTACAAATAGCTTCCGAGTTCCAGAAGTACCTCCGATTCGTCCACCAGGGTATTCATTACCAGTGGGAGGCCATCCCATTTGGAATTTTACAGCCCCATGCATTTTCACATGGATCATGAAGACGGTCGTAGAATGTCTCCATCAGCGGGCGATCAGGGTTGCCTTCTACCTAGATGACGGGCTCCATTCTCACCAGTTCACAGAAGCCCTTCAAGGAGAGTTAGTGACCACCCTGAGTCTACTACGGTACCTCGGGTGGATCGTCAACCTTCAAAAGTCGGACTTGGTACCAACTCGGGATCTACAGTACATCGGGATACGCTTCCAGACGGGGGTCAATCTGGTCAAGGTACCTCAAGGCCGTTGTTCCAAGATTGTCAGCAGCGTTCTGAGACTCCTACATGAGCCAGCGTCAGTGCACACGTGGCAGGAAGTCCTCGGTCTGTTGACATCGGCACAAGACCTGACTCGCTGAGGTCGTCTTCAACTTCGTCCTCTGCAGAGATTGCTGTACCCCCACCTGGAGTTTCCCAACCTCCTGGTTCCACTTCCGGGGCAGCTACGTTGTCATCTGGGAGTGGTGGCTCCAGCCGTCGAACGTTTGCGAAGGCGTCTTTATGAGCGAGCCTCTGTTCATACTACACCTATTCGTAGACGCGTCATTGGAAGGCTGGGGAGCGTACTTCAGGGACGACCAAGCGGCCGGGCTGTGGTCGCCAGAAGAAATGGTCCTCCACATCAACTGCCTCGAGATGGAAGCAGTGATTCGGGTGGTCTGGAAACTTCGACTCCTTCGGAAACGGCTGTTGATACAGTCGGACAACTCCACAGTCGTCCACTGCATCAACAAACAGGGAACAACTCGGCCCTTCTGGACCTGACATTTATGTTCTTCGCCCTCGTCAACGACTTGGACATGCGCGTAAGAGCCCGTCACATCCGGGGGCCAAGAATGTGATAGCTGACGCCCTGTCGAGACCATCGAGGCCGTCTCCCACGGAGTGGATGATCCATCCGACAGTCTTTCATCTGCTGACAGATCGACTGTGTTTGCCCCAAGTAGATCTCTTCGCAACCCTGCGCAACAACCGCCTCCCTCGATTCGTATCGCCGGTTCCAGACCCACGGGCATGGGACCACGACACTCTAGCGATATCGTGGGAGGGTCTAGACGCCATCGACACATGAGAAAGTTCGTCAAACGGCCAACCTACGTCTGCTTTTGGTCGCCAGAACGTGGTTCCTGGAACTTCTTCAGATCATTGATCAGCCACCGTTCCCATTGCCAGGTCGAGACAATCTCCTTCATCATCCTCGCACCGACCACTTGCATCTGGGAATAAAGAACTTCCAGCTTCACGCCTGGGTTGGCTTAAGACCTCGTTAATGAAGAAAGGATATTCGGCTAAAGTGGCAGCGCTTGTCTTGCTGGCACATCGAGTTACGACTCGTAAGCTGTACGATGACAAGTGGACCACTTTCTCCATTTTTGCCAGGTCTCATGGTTTAAATCCGGCGGTAGCAATCCCACCACAGGTGGCGGAGTTCCTACTCTATCTGCGGTCATCTGTACGTCTTTAAGGGTCGACGATCTCGACTTATCTGGCAGCTTTGGCTTCAGTGGTGGCGTCTCCTACGGGCGACAAGCTCACTAAAGTACCGGAGTTGCAGAAGATTCTACGTGCCTTCATGGTTGAAGATCAGTCACGTAAATTTCCGACAGCCGGCCTGGGACCTCGATGTCGTTCTGCGCAACCTGTCTAGTCAGACTTACGAGCCTCAAGATCAGGTCGCGTTTGACTTATTGAAAACAGAAAACAGCTTTCCTTCTCTCGCTGGCTACAGCAGCGAGAGTATCGGAAATACATGCCACTGAAATCGCGGTCGGATTACGTTCGATCTGCGTAACCATGGCAACATCCATCTTGGTCTCAGATTGGATTTTTTAGCGAAAAATCAACTTCCTGGCCAAGATTCGAGAAAATTCAACATACCTTCCTTGTCTGCAATTATGGGCCCTCATGATCACGCTGATCTCGTTCGTGCGCTTCGTATTTACCTGCAGCGATCTGAACAGCGACGACAACATTTTTTGACGGCTGTTCATACCGCTCTCAACCAATGCAAAGAAAGAGATTACACGTAATACCCCGGTACTCTCTCCTTTTGGTTGAGAATGGTAATTCTCAGAGCTTACGAGGCGCAAGGACTCGCACCTCCCACCTCCTCTCAACCGCACGAAGTTTAGCACTCCACAGTAATTGTTCGCTGCAAGCTATTATGGAGGGCTGCTTTTGGAGATCTACTTCAGTGTTTGCTTCGCATTATCTCAGAGATATCTCAACAGAAGATGTTGAAGGACTCAAACAGTTTAGTCCACTCGTGGTGGCACAACAGATCTCCCAGAAAAGACAGTGAATTTGTGCTTTATTTACTTTGGACTTTTTGCTCGACACTTCATGCCATATACTATGTTACAATAAAAGCTGTTGCTGAATGTACGCATTCTTATGGTTTTTTTGTTGCGTGCAGTACTTTGGCTTTTTTAATATGGTTATTCGGTGTATGCATCGTCTTCCCATACTTTATAGTACTGCTGGTAGTTTTTAGTTGTATACTGCGAGTTGCTCTGTAACTAAATTATGCGCCGACCACACTTCGATCGCAGTTCAACTGACGCGTGCAGTTGTCCTGTCGCATCGATAATTAGTTGTGTGTCGAAGAGCATTAACCATGCTGTGCGTTCGTGATAAACAACTTGTCTCGTCCGTGCATCTGGTCGAATGTTCTATTGTCACTACAGGGGTGAGGAACTTGGTACATTCGACGTGAAAGAAGTCACTTCCTGATTACTTTCCCGACCCTCCTTCCAGTGTTCCGTCGAATTCTACCCATTTGTACGACTGAAAACAGACTAAAACATGTGTTTTTCGGAATAAAAATGATGTTTTATTGGTCTGTTTTCAGTCTTTCGTTCCCACCCAGCCATCCCCACAGGGAAGTAATCCAGTCCAGTCCTGCTTGATGGCTTATTCTTTGAGATTTGTGACATGTCATAGGGAGGTGCATACGCAACCTGGAGGGAAACAAGTTTAATGTTTACATTCCAGCTTCTGGCTTCCTTTTAAACGTGCGACTAGAAGTGAGGGTATGAGAGATACCCATTTGTACGACTGAAAACAGACCAATAAAACATCGTTTTTATTCTGAAAAACACATTTTTCTTTTTTTTTCATATTTACCCCCATTGCCCATTTATTGCAAAATGATTCTAATATATCTAATTTTCTTTGCAATTCTCTCACGGAGTCTGCAAGTAGGACATCATCTGCAAAGAGCAGCAGCTTAATTGTTTCAATAACTAGACTTACAAAAATGCCCCGGCATTCACTTGCCTTAATTTCAGACACTAATTGACCGCCACCTGAGAGCAGAAGGTTTCGGGGTTCAATCCCCGGCTGCGTCATACCAAAAGACGTTAAAGGATGGTACTTGTTGTTACCCTGTCTGGCGCTTGGCACTAAGGTGCTTAAACAAGGACTGGTCTGCTCGGAGTCAGTATACTGTGTCTGAGTGGGGTATTCATGTTAAACTGCGGCATGGTATCTCAGTGAGCTAGCACTATAAATCGGCATCAGTCCGGACTAGTACAAACAGCCACACACACACACACACACACATGCATGCATGTCGCTGTATAAGTGCAATAATCTTGGATGCGATGTTAAACCCAATTTCACCTCACCTCACCTGGGCTCAACATACACCACAAGAGGTGTTAAAACATCCAACATTTTTATATATATTTTCAATAACTTTATACATTTTACCACGAACGCCCTTTTGAAGAAGTACATACAACATTTTCTTTCTATTAACAAATTCGAACGCCTTGCTGAAATCTATAAAGGTGGCATAAAATCGATGTTTTGGTTTTCTTAAATACTTTTGACACAAGGCCTGCAAAACAAAAATATTATCAGTTGTTAAATGGTCCTCTCTAAATCCAGCTTGGGATTCCGATAGTATCCCGTTGATTTCGGCCCAGTATCTAAGTCTATTTTCAACAACAGAAGTAAATAGTTTTCCCATTACATTTAGGAGAGATATTCCTCTATAATTGTTAGGATTTGTTGACTCACCAGATTCATACAAAGGAATTATAAGACCACTATTCCAGACACAAGGGAAAGTCCCTGTCTTTAAAATGGTATATTTAAGTATATTTAAATTAAGTATGGGACGATATTCATACAATATTTGTAGAACTCGGGTGGTATTCCATCTGATCCGGGTGCCTTACCCAACTTTAAAGCATATTAGCATCGTTACATTTCTCAGAATTCAAAGGATCATGGTGTCTGATTAAATCTGCAACAGATTTATCAAACTCATTATCAGAAACTTGTTCAGGATTTAAAAGTTCATGAAAGAAAATAACCAATACAGACGGTGGCACCCCAAGTATTCGACTGCGATACTGTATTAAACGTTTAATACTAATGGCAATTTTTATTTAGTAGGGCAGAATTTATGGACTCAATCGTTTTTTGTTTAAAACACTCTTGCTTTTCATGCCATAATTTTCCAAAATTTCTTCTAGACTCAAGGTACAACCACAAATTTAGGGGCCTTTTTGTTGTTCAAAGAAGACACAAACATTTATACATGTATTTCAACTTTTTTAATACAATTCTTTCATTATTGAACCACTGAGGTTAATTATGAACCTGAAATGAATCTGATTGTTCTTTTCTTAGTTTCTCAAAATGCGATCCTGCAACATAAAATAAATTTGTTTGCTGGTACATACCACATGTAAGTAGTCAGATGAGATAAATGAAAGTGACTAAACAGTTTCAATAATCACAAGAAATCTCTGCTAAAAGCAGAATCCAGTGTACGATTCCGACTATATCTTATGTCTGCTTTTATGAATCTCAATGACATACCGTATATCGCTGTGTATAAGGCGACCCCACGTATAAGACGACCCCCCTGTACACGCCTTAAAAATCAACCCAAAATCCTATACTCCGTGTATAAGGCGACCGGGAATGAAACATATCACAAGTCTGACTGATATAGAAGATTAACGTGCGCTTTCCGGCTGTAGCGTATTTCGCACACGGACATCAGAAGTTAGTTAGTTACTTTGGAGATTTAACGTGCGCTTTCCGACTGATGCGTATTTCGCACACATTACAAGTGCGCACACAAACCTTATATATGCAATAAAAATATGTTTATCTTGCGTTGTTTTTTTTCTACAACGATAGGTCGCGTGTGTAACTCCAGCACACGTCGCCATTTTGTGTTTACACGGTACGACACCAAATTGGGGCCCGTAAAATAAAATTCATTTATGAAGTAATAACATATAAGAGACAATGGTGAGTAATTTAATCGCCAATTAACTATGTTGTAACTAACTAGACTTATGTTTGCTTCACATTCAGCGTGTTTATTCCACAATCACTTGTGCACACCGTCTCCAACACTTGTTAATACAACTGTAAAAACAGCGGGAATTGATTTCAGCTTCACCGGTTATCACATGTTAGGTCACATGTGCAATATGCAAATGCTTACCGGTACTTCCGGCTCTCTACTCGCGGATGTTGATTGTTTTACCGTGTCAATCTGCATCGAGGCGAGGGTCATTTCAACTTTATTTGCAGAAATTATTTGCAACTTTATTTGCAGTAATGATGATACCAGGTGTTCATGAAAAGTTGCATTTATCCTATCCTATCAGAGGCTCAGGTCACACAAAAAACGCTTGAGAGTTGGATTCGAACACGAAATAATGCAATACCAGTTGCAGAACGACACCCACGAGTGAAACTGAAAACCGTCCTTTAGTTCACTGAATTCTGAATTGTTACATCGTGAATGTGCAACATGAACACTGAAAACATATGAGAAATAAAATAGTTCCAATCTCATTCAAATCAGATCTCGGTTCTTGCTACTGCTAAACATAAAGCCTAAAGTTTCCTCAAGACTTGCTCATTTCAGCTCCATTCATTCCAGTATTGATATACACGCACATGCAAAGATTATGCCACTATATGGCTTTTGACTAAATTTGATCTGACTGAATAATAATGCATTGTCAGCCTTCATATCTTTAAAATTGCGATGATTGGGAATATGCGAGTGTTAGATGAAATGGATGACAATGGACACTGTCTACGGACATCATCATTTTGGCTGCGTCAGATGTGTTTTTAAGACATATTACATACACAATACCAAAGACTGGTGAACGAGTCGCAATATACAATCATTTCTTAATAAGGGGACAGAACACAAATTCATAACGGTAAACTCACCACTGGATGCGGTAAACGTGTTGCTTCTCCCGACTTGCTGTGTGCGTATATTGCCACCATCCCGACGGACTTCTATATTGTTGTTGTCACCAACCTGTGCAACTGATGTAGCATGATCTGGAAAATATGTGTCATGCTCAGACTTCCTGCATCATCAATTTCATACTGCATCTAATTAATCTGAAAGGACACACGTTTTACACAATTCTCTGCAAGCAATATACACACTTAAATATTGCAAATTAATAAAAAGATGTTGTGAAAATGTCTTGACTGTCGTATTTGAATTTGTTTATATTTGGGAACCTGAGAGGCAGTACAGTCAAACCAGATAAATATTGATGAATTGGAAATAGAGCATCAAGACTGGAGCTCACAGGCACCTTTCTGGACCATTGTTATTTCGGTAAAGTCATTTTCTGTTTTGTTTGTTGTTTAACGCCGCACTCAGCAATATTACCGCTATATGACAGCGGTCTATAAATAATCGAGGTTGGACCAGACAATCCAGTGATTGACAACATGAGCATCGATCCACGCAATTGGGATCGATGACATGCATCAACCAAGTCAGCGAGCCTGACCACCCGATCCCGTTAGTTGCCTCTTAGGACAAGCATAGTCGCCTTTTGTGGCAAGCATGGGTTGCTGGAGAACTATATTCTACCCCGGATCTTCATAGGCCCGGTTACGTCATAAAGGGGTCAAGAATTAAATCAAATAACAGAAGTTTCTGAACAACAGGCAGGCAGAGGGACACTAGTATAGCTAGATAAACGTGGTATTTAATGTCATCGCTGAGGTAACAACACAACCATTTTAAAATATGCTTTTCCACGTTCATATGAAACTTCATAATGTTTCATTCAGAAATGGCTGCGGAATGGTCACAAATGCATTTTCAACATTGCATTAGTGGCGGAAATGTTTAAAATCCTCATTCTTTTTCAGCATGTTTAGCAACACAAAAGGTGTGATCGGTCACACAAAGTTTTAATGGCAAAAATGGAAATGACATATGATAATGACAAAGGGCCGATTGACTACGTGGCAAGAGAAGTCAAAGAGTCCAACCAAGTGAGATATATAGAGCTGGAGCGTGGATGACCTTAGTAGCATTATATTTGTAAATGGCTCATATGGCAAGCGCATCATTTTGGTATCATGCTATTTATTTCATAACACCAAAGCCAATACAGAACTTCTGGATCTCAAGAACCTACCTTCAAGAGACACATAGCCATTGGTACTGTTGAGGAACCGAGTGTTAGGAATAATGTTTTTTCTCATGGCCCCAGGAAGCTTATACTTTACTTCTTGGAAGATTTCGTCATCATCAAGATAATTGACTAATTGAACCTCTTTTTCTGCTTCTATGAGATCTGCAATTAAAGATAAATATTGCAAACATAATCCGATAGAGTAAAGGATGAACTGATAAAAAGGTTAATGTGTTAAAAATTATCAGTACTCTAAATGGTACAAACGTTTGAGATAAAGTCCGAAGACCTTTAATCTTTTTTAAAGGTAAAATGCTTGAAAGATGAGACAGAAACAAAGTGTAGTGGTAATATAAGAGAGAATTTGAAATCATCCAAGGATGGCAAGAATTTTATTAAATACAAGAGTGCTCTGAGAGCACAACATCCCCCACATGAACTTTTTTAACAAGTCAAATGAAGCTCCGTAAAACAGGGACAATAACTCTGTCAAAATGAGTGGAAACGAAACGAGACTGCGATATGCGTATCATCAACATGTCGACATCTTGTGTGTTGAGTGTAAGGGATATTCTCTGGAAATTGTAGGAGGAGTTGATTTCACAAGCTTAGTACCCTCTCTCACAATAAGGCAAATGAAGCTCCGTAAAACAGGGGCAGTAACTCTGTCAAAATTAGTGGAAACGAAACGGGACTGCGATATGCGTATCATCAACATGTCGACATCTTGTGTGTTGAGTGTCAGGGATATTCTCTGGAAACTGTAGGAGGAGTTGATTTCACAAGCTTAGTACCCTCTCTCACAATAAGGCAAATGAAGCTCAGTAAAACAGGGGCAGTAACTCTGTCAAAATTAGTGGAAACGAAACAGGACTGCGATATGCGTATCAACATGTCGACATCTTGTGTGTTGAGTGTCAGGGATATTCTCTGGAAACTGTAGGAGGAGGTGATTTCACAAGCTTAGTTCCCCCTGTGGGACGGACGGACGGACGGACTGCGCCACGACATAATCCCCCTGAGGCCATTTCTGGCCAGGCGGGGGATTAAAAGCGTCCAAATCCCTTCAATATTCCTAAAAAATATCTGCTGAAGTCCATTTTACTACTCCGTCTATATCATGAGCATGTGCAGGCATCCCCATGGGCAAGAAGTAGGTATCCCCATATCCCTTCTTGCTGATCTGTTTCTTTATGCATATGAATCGGCATGTCTGCTCGGACTGGCAAAATGAAATCAAGACTTCTTGGCCAAGAAGTTTAACTTGAGCGTCAGGTTAGCCATGATCTGATATCAATAACGGTCAAATAGCCAATTCCCTTCAACTTAACCCACCTGAACACGAAATATAAAAAAACTGATCTCTAGATCTATACATAAAGATTCAGAGTGACATAAAACACCCCACAATATTGTATGAGGGATGACTTCAACTTTCGAAGAGCCAACTCTTGCCTAAATGCCGAGGAATGTTCCAGCAGTTCCAGCCTTTGGAACAATCGACCATGCTCGTTTTACGGCGATTTCAAAGATCAGCATAGTCTCTTGCTGAAAACATTCAAGGCCTCAGCAAATATTCCAAACGATTTTATGGTAGACACGTGGAGGACATTATCTTTTGACACGTCAGTGACAAATATGATGGAAAGATTCTGATATTTTGTTAAACATCGATGAGCTGTATATCTCATCATATCGGTTTACAGCAGAACAGCTGAGATGATTGATGTTTTAGTTTGCCTACTTGTTCAAAGATGTAACTGGTCGTTTCACCTTATAGACCCATGAAGCATTGTACCTTTAGAAAGATGGGAATAGTCCAATACTGTACAAGAAAAAATCCTAAGATTTACCCCAAAGATCAGCGAAAATATGAACATGACACAATTAAGATAATATCTTTGGCGTGACATCAAATACACAATGGGCGTCACTAGGAATAACTTATACAATTCCTCACAGAAGCATTTAACATGCATTTAAATCTATGTAAAACATATCGTGTTGGTTGGTAGCACAATTCATGAAAATCTATGTGTTTGTTTGTTCGTTGTTTAATGCCGCACACAACAATATGACGGGGGGCTGAAAAATAATCGAGTTTGGACAAGACAATACAGCGTTATCATGAACATTGATCCATGCAACTGAGATATGATGACATGCATTAATCAAGTTAGCGAGTCTGACCACCCGATCCCGTTAGTTGCCTCTTATGACAAGCATAGTCGCCTTGTACAGCAAGCATGGGTTGCTGAAGACCTATTCTACCCCGGATCTTCACCGGTCGAAGAAATATGTGTGTAATACCGTTGTAATAGGTTTTGATAGTTTGGCAGAAAATGATTGGAAAGTTTTGTCACCATTGAAAACACGTTTGAGCATCCTGTATTCATCTTCCATCAACTGAGAAAACTCTTGATCAATCAACACAATCATACGTGTACAGTCTGTTTTGAGTGCCTCTGTCAACCTCTCAGCATCTACAAAAACAAATTAAAGAAAGACAATACGCTAAACAATTCGATGGGATCACAATCCATGCTTCAGCTTTTGTCTTGATATTCTTTCATTATCCAGTAGAAACACAAATACATACATGATCAATATTTAGTCAAACTGGACACAATGACAAATAGGAACATCAAACAAATAGCCTGTTTGGATAATCTATGTAAGGACATACTGACTTGATTACGGTCATGCATTACTTTAACAAAAGTATACTTACTGTCACACTCAAATCGTTGTATACTTCTACCGTTGTTTCTGAAGAACGCATCCACATTGTCGGCGTGTCTTTTTGCACCACGTGTGTAGATGACAACTGATAAAAGGCAGAGCATGTAAGTTGTGAGGCGTGAGCAAAATGATTGTTCCTGGTTATATGTGAAATAATAACTCTTTTTCTGACAACTAGATGATCGAGGACAGTGGAGATTTGTTCAAGATTTGTACCTGTTTATCGTGACGAAGATTACATTCAACTCAAAAGCCGAACCTGTTGGAAACCGTTAGGTCTAATGTTTCTAGTTCTGTGTGTTTTGACCATTTGAAATAGTTCTTTTTATAATTTTATGAGGTTCGAAGATACTGCAAAGGGCGATTACAAAACGGCAAGGCAATAGTACTTTATATGTGATAAGTTGCAAAAACTACGCGCCGTTTGTTACTAGTTTTGCTTTAAAAACTTTACTTTGGTAAGATATATTTAGCGGATATTTCAATGTATTTTTCGGTGAAGAGTTCCCCCCTTTAATATTCTCTATGCAAAAAAAAAAGTTTTAATTTATTTTGTTTCAGGTGAAATTACAGGAAAATACAACAATGTCTGGCAGTGAAAGTAAGTGATTTATGTGGCAAGAACATTTCCAAAACACAACTCAAAACACAACATTGTGACAGTCATGAAGCACGTGACTTCGGACAGCACTCAGACAGGGTGGAATACTTGATATACCATTGTCACTTGACTGACTCGCTTGTGAGTTTTCTTGGAACCAAACGCTAAAATACACCTTTCTAAACATATTTAATCATGATGAAGCAACATCATTGATCATGCGACGTTTGTAACGTGTTGAACATTTATGTGCTACAGGTATTTTGCAGATGCGCACACATCATAATAATTTCTCTATGATTCCCAATCTGTCATCAGCAGATTGGGGGCCCGATGCCAACAAACACATCTGTGCCGCTCTGGACGCCCAAGGGCAGCAACTCCAGGCAAGGACAGATCAGATCAGACTGATAGCATTAAGAAATGAGTTGAAAACTGACACTGAGGTAAGGTACCGATGCAACAGGCAACTAGTGTAAGAGTACACGCGAAATCATTTGTAAAGATGGAATTTGCGAGCACGACGTCCACGTGTCCACATTTATGTGTCATCCCACGTGCCATCCCACAACTTACTGCACGTCATTTGAATCTGAGGCGTCAGTGGTCTAGGGAACATCAACGCCGGAAAAATCAACTTTGGGATTGTGTCATGTTTTCTGACAAAACAAGGTTAAATCTTGACTTCGATGACCGAAAGAAACGAGTTTGGAGACGTCCTGTTGAACGTTTTATGGACGTTAACGTTATGGACCCATATTGGTACAGGGTGGTATCAAAATGACTGGCACTCCATATTGTCCATGGCAGTTTCAAAGGTCAACACTATCGGGACAACATCATTGCACCAGTCGTGCTGCCACTTGCTCAACGTGTTCTTTCAAGATGATAGAGCACTACTCATCGTGACCCAATTCCACCCACCACTTTTAATGAACTCGATGTTGCTCTCACCAATCGGGGGGAAGCTGACATTGGTCGACACATCAAAAAATTCACGCATGTCTGGCCAAAAAAGGTGGTTTTACCCAATATTAGTGACCTTGGCTGCAAAATGCAAATTTCTTATTTGACCTCCGACTTCTTTAATGACCAAGTGTGCCACCATCTGATCACATCAAGCTTTAGAACCCATAACAGATATGATCCCCAGATATGATGAAATAATTTCCATTAATAATATCATATAGATCAGCAGAAATGTCTTGTTAATTCCCAATATCTCCTACATTCTTTGCATCGTACTGTATTGTCCTTTCAATAAGTATTAAGAGATTATCTATGTTACCAGGCCCTTGTTCATTTGGAACCTCCTGTTCTCCTTCACTTGAGGTCTGAAATAATGGAAAATCATTGTAACAGTACCATGGCAAAAGTTAAATATAGTATATCTTGGCAATATCTAAGGTATATTCACTGATAGTTGCACTCCACTGTTCTGATATAAGTCCAAAATAGTCATAGAATCCACACATGCAATAATGACACAGGTACCCATGAAGGAGGAAGTGCGTGTTAATTCCCTGAGCAGTGCCGCATCCCTTACATGTAGCATTGCCAGGATCCCGAAACAACATTTACTTAAAAAGTTCAAGTACTACAATATTTCAAGTGGCCTACCCATACGAATGATGAAGATCAAATATTTCAACTCACGATCGCATCTTCCTCTGTCTGGTCTCCCACCACACCTTCCATGTGAGGAGAAAACTGCTCTCTTGCCTCTTCTACATGTGGACGACCGCGGTCTGTGTGAACCATGTCCTGCCCAGACAGACTGGTATAGGGGTTATCCACCAGGTTCATATTGCTTCTGTCCTGATAGACGTGCGTCACTAGAACAATGAACAATGATGTTTGTTTGTTTGTGGTTTAACTCCGCACTCAGCAATATTCCAGCTATTTGACGGCGGTCTGTAAATAATCGAGTCTAGACCAGACAATTCAGTGATTGACAATATGAGCAGTGATCTACGTAATTGAGTGAGTGTGTGAGTTAAAATTTAACGTCGCATCGGCATTATCTCATCCATATTTCAACTCTATGTTTACTAAGATGCCTGACCTCCCAATCCCGTTAGTCGCCTCTTACGACAAACGTATTCACTTTTTAGGCAAGCAAGGGTTGCCGAAGACCTTTTCAAACCTCCCGTACGTGTCTGCGTTGCAAATATTTGAAATGCATATGTCAAAATACAGTCTTAATAAATGTTCTCCAAATCCAACGGTGTTTTGTAAGTAAAACTATAAAAATAGAAATGTATTAGTTTTTTTGCTGCGAAGATCAGCTGATGTATGTAACACAGGACGAATGTATTTTTCTGAACAGGCATTGTCATCACCAGGGTGATAGATTTGGTTCATCCACACTAAATTATGAAAGATTGTTGTCACTGGTTGTAAAAAACGTATTGATACATGAGAAATGGTGTAACTGTTCATGTTACACCGGAGAGTATTGCAATGATGTCATTCTGTTGTATTTCTACCAAATGCCGGCTTTTCTTGTTAAAAATGGACACTATTTCCGGTGCTGACGTCACTTTCTGTTCTTATCTCACTTTCCGTTGTGACGTCACTTCCGGTTTCTCACTTCCCTTGGATAATGGATAATGACGTCTTATGTCTATATCTACCAAAAGACGTCATTTCCTGATTAGATTGACCTTAAACTTCTATTTCTGGTGGTGATGTCACTTCTAGTGATGTCGTCACTTCCGATTATACATCTTCCGGCTCTGACGTCACTTCCGGTCATCTGCAATTCGTACTAGTAGCAGCTGTTACTCAAGGTGCTCCAAATCAAATCCTACACCTAATTAACAGGGTAATCAAGAGAGTACCTCTACCCCCCCCCCCCCCCCCCCCCCCCCCCACACACACACACACACATACACACACACCACCCTGCCTTATCTTTCGATAGAACGAGGTGGTGGATGATAGTACGTCACGCAAGTAAAAACTGGTGAAGGTGTCTTGTGAGGCCCACTGACAGCTGGACACTACTTGTTCCACTGAAACGGAAATGTCGATGAAGTGAGACTCGTGGCTAGGGTTTTGATTTCGTGAGCTGGGCAGGATCCAAGACAGGAGTGGAATTCTGTGCCTGCGTATAACTCGCTGCAACGGTAGCCTTAAGCCAGCCCGCTATCGTAACCTTGGTGGTGTCTTTATTGGAATGAGGCTTGCAGGATATGAATAGTCTCCTTCTATGGCGTCTATGTGGGTTTGTAGCTGAAGGGTAGAATTTGAGAGCTCTGAAGGGACAAAAAAAAGTCTGTCTTGGTGATCCACTGTCAGCCCCAAGGCAGGAATGTTATAGTGTCTATGGCCCACTGTATAATGATGAATGTCTTCATGATCTTGCCACAGCTTCAGAGTACCCGGATGTCTGCATCTTTTGCGTGATAACTTCCAGGTGGTTAGATATTGGCTGGGCAGGTTGTCGTAGAAAATGTTTGACCCGGGCTGTTGAAACAGATCTCGACGGAGAGGTAAATGGGGAGGCTCTTCCATTAATAGACTTAATAATCTGGGGAACCACGCTCTGCTGGCCAGACTGGTGCTATCAAGATTATCATGCAATCCGTCTCCTCCACCTTGTGGATGACCTTGTCTAGGAGAGACCAAGGTGGGAATACGTATGCAAATAGACCCGTCCAATCCATCGACAGCAGATTGATCTGCTGAGCCATTGGTTCGGGAACTGGACAGACATGAACTGGAAGTTGATGGTTTGGGCAGGTGGCAAAGAGATGCCTGATGTCTCATAACGTGGTTATCCAAGCCAAGATCTTGGGATGTAGGGTCCATTCTGTTGGTACTATTCTCCCCTGGCGGGAAAGGCTGTCAGATCAGCAAGGATGTTCAGCTTACCGAGAATATGTCTCGCTTCCAACCTGATGGAGTCTGCCAAGGCAAACAATCGTGTAGTCTCCATCATCAGAGAACTTGATCTGGTTCCTTCTTGTTTCTGAATGTATGCAACTACTGTGGTGCTGTTCGTGGCTATGAAGATGGACGATTGGGAGAGACGTATCTTAGATGTCAGGATGGCGTAATAAATGGGCTTCATTTCCGTGCAGTTGATATGTAGAATCCTGTCTCTGGTGTTCCAAGACCTTTGTACCATAAGATCGTCAATATGGGCTCCCCATCCCGAATCTGGGGAGTCTGTGAAAAGAGTTTCTCCGTGTGTCCACCAATGCAGGTCCCGTAATAAGTTGGGATGTAACTGAGTCCTGAACCCTAGGGTGTTGGATCGTAGTGAGTTGATCCATGTCTGTGGAGGACGTAACATCAACCTTGCTCTGAAGGTCATATTCTGTAGATACGTTGGATTGCCTAGAAGAGATATCCACCACCTTAGAGACCTGGCAGGTTGACTTGATAGGGATTGAATTATCGTAATAGTCTTGACGAATCGATCCTATGGTGGACATAGATATCCCTTGTGTTGTTGGAAACGCGCTCCGATGTATACAATGTCTTGAACCGGAGTGGTCTCAGACTTGGAGGGATTGACTAGGAAGCCTAGGTAGGTCATAAGCATAGGACCAGAAATGTTCTGGTGTAACCAAGCTTCTTCTTGGTCTGCCATGGCTTCATACTAGCTGATGACTGGCGCTGTAATCCTGGTAAACAGCCAAGGGACTATTGATAACCAGAATGGTAAGACCTGGAACTCATAACGTCGACCATTGATTATGAAGCACAGGTACTTCCATGTTGATGGGGGTATTGGGACGTGAAGATAGGCGTCTTGTCGGTCGAGGCTGATAAGCCAACCGCATCTTCCTAATGCATTCCATCTGGAACTTTAGAGGAGGTACCAATAATTTTTTGTTGAGTATCTTCAAGCTGTCGGGTGTAATCTGCTTCCAATTTTAGGCATATGACTCAAGACTCCCTCCCACTGGCCCTGAAGTCGGTATTATGTTGAAGATGATAGGCTTAAATCGCAGTCCATATACATAACAAGGTCGAAAGTGTCTATAACGGCAGAATGGGTGGCAAGGAAGTCAGAACCTGCGTTCACCTCTGCCCCCGAATCTGCCCCAGGAATAGGATCTTCGTTTTCTGTAGTCGGACTGACAAAATGAATCCTGAGAAGATTGATGCTTTTCGTACACCCAACTCGGATGGAATGAATCCTTCACGGAAGGGACAAATTCTTCTTAGGTGGCTGTTTATATGACGAGTCCTTGTGGTCCCAGGAACACTTCGGGGGGATAGGAAGATTCATGTGCCTTGACAGCTAGGTCAATAGTTGATACTTGGAATCGTTCAGTTGTGTCTTGTCTGATCTCGTCTAGGACATGTCCCAATTTGCCAGCTGTCCCAGCTGTATCCATCTGCTGTTCGTCATAATCCATACATTCAACGTGTTCCCCTTGCGGTTCATCATTCGCTGGTATCCAGGATTCCACTATGAGTAAGGTCCATGCGGTTTGTAATGACTGCCCGTGTATAATGGAACCAGTACAGGAATGATGATCCTCCATCAAACTGCTAGACTGTCCCGCTGACATCTGGCGACATTGCGGTTGATGTGACGCTCTCGTAACGCTCTGCTTGGCTACAGTAGAGTCCGTGCGGTGTCTTAGCTGGGGAGTATGGCCTTGCGGCACTCTGACAGGACCCGAGCGGAGATCTAGATGCCCATGTTTCACGGGAGGGTAAAACCTGAGCTGTGGTTGTAGCCTGACCAAACGGCTGTCCCCCATGTGGCCTCTTGGCCGGAGGACTCTTCTTAGCCAATACGGTCTGCTTCTTCTTAAGCATCTCCATGTCCTTAGTTATAGCAGAGAAGCGAGACTCTAACATCGACTCCATCATCTCCTGTATGAAGAGTTGTTCTATCAAGTTCATAGAGAACGCAGGAGATGATCCATTCGCCGGAGTAGTTGGTGGAGTCGCTGGGACAGAGTCAGAGGCTAAGTCAGTGTCAGTAGCCGCAATGACGTCAACTCTCTGCTTAGCTGCTTCTCGTCTTCTAGCTTTAATTAAGGCTTCAACTAGCTTGGTGAAGGCCTTCTTAGATAGAGAAGAGCACTGATCGTATCTTGCCTCTCCCGTGCATCTCTGCACTTCCAGCAGTTGTTATGAGGATATCTCATGATCATAAAATGGCCACACTTCTTGCAAGTAAGAGGAGAGGGAGACTCCATGACGACCTCACAAACATCCACGCCAGTTTTATATTTACGTGAGAATTACAACAATTAGCAGCTTTTAATTTTGACTTAATATGTCTGTTTTAAGAAAACTATACAACAATGTTAGATTTATGTGGCCACCACCAAGTGCTTGATCGTTACAACTATAATAATAGGTGTTGACTCGAGCACACAGAGGAAAGAAGTGAGGTTTCCAGCCATTTCACACGTCATTGCTTGGGTTGCTGTAGTGCTATATTGGGAACAACTAATTGTGTGTAATTGACAGTGAAGAGGACGGCTGTTGAAAATCTGAAAATTAAGTTAGTGTGAATGAAGCCAAAATCAAGCAAAGATGTAATAGAGGTAGAGGATTTGCAAGAATTATACTTTTTTATGCCAATTTTTGGAGTGTCGTGTGCTAGCCATAGGGCAGGGCATGCTTACACTTTTTTCGAAACCATGTAATACCATGTGCATTCTCAAAACCTCAAAAGATTTGCTTGCCTATTTGATTTGCAGTCTCAGAAAAGAACCAAGTTTAATTAAGTAAAAATATTTGTCTTTTCAACTTTGTACACCAATGCCCCACAAGACAAACTTTAGGAAAAACTTGATTCCTTGATTGGCCATGTGTGTTCACAGGTTCAAAAATGAAAGCAAAAATCCATCTGAAGTGTACTAAAAAAAAAACAATATGTGAAATGCCAAAGGGAATTGGGCCAAGATGTTTAACTTAAGCCTCTGGTATATTGATGACATTCTGACATCGTTCAATACTGGTAGCATAGTCCATTTAGTAACAAAGTAACCGCATGCTTCCCCTCTTTCAGGGCGGGTAAGAATGGCAAGATGGATGACATCAACCTTCCAATAGACAACTTTCCCATTTATGCGTAGAAATATTCCAACAGCTCCAGCTTTTGGTGTCTACATTTCACATTGTTTTAGGTACAAGTGGACATGCTGTTTCTACCAAGATTTCAAAGAGCGTCATACGACTCTTGCTTTAAGATTGATCAAGGCTACAGACGTCAAGGCCTTATTAAAACTTTCCAAAACGTTTATGCTAAACAAACAGAGGACATTACCAAATTTGACGCATCAGTGTCAAAAATGATGTCCGATGCAATTCCCTATTTTGACTTGTTCAATATGTTCCTGCTGGCTACGGCACTGATATACCAGAAATGGGCTTCACACATTGTACCCCTCATACAGGGAATTGAACACAGGTCTTCTGCGTGACGTGCAAACGTTTTATTCACAAGGCTACATGAACGCCCAAGACCACTATTGAAGGAATAGGACTCACTTTTTGTAATATAATTTATAGATATACGAAAGATGCATCATTGAAACTAACAATCAGTAATTCTCTATTTTTAGAAACTTTTTAATGAAAGTAAGTGGTATAACAACATCATTTGCTTCACACTTCCAAAGAGACAAAAAGACAAAAGAGAGAAAATACAAAACAGTTGGATTAAAACAAAGATGGAAAATAGAGGAATATAAATTTGCAATAGAATCCGATGATGTGAAGAAGGTGAACAACCAACTAGCTACTTATCACTTAGTAAACAGAAAATACACTAATAACGTCACAACTAAACCAACCAATGACGATGGAGGGGTAATAGTGCAAGGAGATGTGATATTAATATGGCGCATATCAAGGGAGAAAGCATACCCAAGTCACTATATCCAAGCTTCTTACAACGAACGAACACACACACACACACACACACACACACACACACACACACACACACACATGTATGGATATGAAAACACACACTCTTTTTTTTTTTCTTTGATTGATTTGATGAAATGAATGTGTTGAGGTGGAGTGACTAATAAAATGCAAGTGACTAATATAATGGATAGATGAAATGTTCATGAAATACATTGTAATCATCAGCAAAGTTATTAATATAATCTCACCCTAATGCCTGCGAACGTACACATAACCGCTGCTCCCACTGAAAGAATTTGATAGTCACAGCCACACAATATGGCTACCCGGAAGAAGTGGGAAATACCCAATGACTTTCCTAATAGGGAACATGACGTTATCAACGGAGCCCTGCTGTGTTAAGCCAACCATGACACAGTGTGGATCGCACTTGTGTAGGCCTCTTGTGTTACATATAAATACACCACAACCTGTTGGGAGAGTATTGGGTGTAGGTTGGGCAGCGTCCCAAACCGTCAGACAGTTAGATGACAAATACGGAATCATTTTCAAGAGAAGTCGTGACAAACCAGCGGCAATGATAGACACAAAGTGTTATCATACCTCCATGTCAGAATGATGAGATCTCATTATTGCATGTCATCTTGATTAAATACTGTGTATCCCGCCTTGGAGGGGAATAAATTTCTCAGCGGGAGAACAAAGAAGAAGAAGAAGAAGAAGAAATGTTTATTTAAGTGTCACATATTGTACATAAAACACATTTTAAACAAAAGCAAGTTGCCATTAAAAGTACACTTTCCAGCCTCTAGGGCTTATGAGACACTCTAAAAGCATTTAAAACATATAACATTATTAAATATAAAACACAAAATAAAAATATTATATACAATGTTAAGACTAGAAGAGATGCACTCTCCTTCTATACATGCTGAATAATGTGCTTGCTAAAAGCGGCTGTAAAATCACTTCTTGCATCAAATAAGATAATTGCTGAATGCTATTAAAATAATAAAAGTCTTGATTTAATTCAGGTGCCTTGTGTAGTAGTTGATATCTCAGGTCACTGTATACAAAACAATCTATTAAAAAGTGTGATTCATCCTCAATAACATAATTATTTTTTTCTGCACGAAATTTACATATTCTATCATTTAAAGGAATAGGTGGCTTGGAATAGCGGCCTGTTTGGACTAATAGAGGGAGGTTACCACACCTAAACTTAGATAAAACACTTCGATAATCCCTTCGCTTCACACATTTCACATAGTGGCTCACATTCACATCAAATTTGAAAAGTCTGAAACTCCTTAGCTTGCTACCATTTGGTTTGTTCTCATCATCCCACACTTGTTTACACCATGATTCACTATCTTTCTCTTTCAAGATATCCTTCAGTAAGTTCACTTTTTTCTTGTTATTGTTACTGTCACTGATAATCCCATCCACATTTAAGTCTCGTATCAGCATTTCAGTTCTTTTATCAAGAGATTTACTTTGATACATTGCCCACTTAAGAATAATATTTGGAATTCTGCTATCTGGCATTGATTCACATCTGAAGAATTGTCTAAATAATTCTATCTTTTGATCCACATCACTTGATGACCATCCCATATCGCTGCGAATCGCCAAGTTAGATGCATTTTGACCGGTTCCTAGAAAAAATCTACAAGCTTTGTTTTGGATGACTTGCACCTCCCTGTATTTGTTAATCCCCCATATACCAGCTCCATAGAACAAAACAGGCTTGATAAGGGTATTATACAACTTGGTATACACTTCGTAGGACATCCCACCACAACTTCTAAATTTAGTGTACAATGCAGATAGTGCTTGACTGGCAGATTTACAAAGTTCTTTTACAGTCTTATGCATGTCCATATGTTGATTCAACCAGATGCCCAGGTATCTATAGCTCTCTGTATATGGTACAATATTTAAGCCACATTTAAACTGGTAAACTGAAATGATTGTAGACTTGGGTCTGAAATGCACAACTTGTGTTTTCTCACAGTTTATTTCTAACCTCCACTTTCTGCACCATTCACTGAGTATACATAGCATTTTCTGTAGAGAATCTTCATCCGGGGCGATTAATGCTAGGTCATCCCCATATAGGAGAACAGATAACATATAGTTCTCTATTTCAATTCCACATTGTAAACCTTTCAATTCCTCAGCAAGATCATTGATGTAAATAGAAAATAAAGTTGGGGATAATTTACAGCCTTGTTTAACACCATAGTTCACATCAAATGGATCTGTATACAAGTCATTTAATTTAACTGTGCATTGCACATTGTTGTAGAGTGACTGTATGCATTGAAGAATTTTTCCTTTTATACCACACTTCATAAGCTTGAACCATAAGCATTGCCTGTCAACAGAGTCAAATGCCTTCTTTATGTCAACAAAACACACAAATGTTGACTTTTTAGTAGACTTTCTCACATTGATGATGTTGTAAAGTGCATAAACATGTTCTATGCAAATGCGATTCTGTCTGAATCCATTCTGCTCTTCTACTAATGTATTATTATCTTCTATTAAGGATTGAATCCTCCTATTTAGGATGTCTGTGTATACCTTACATGGAATAGATAACAGTTATTCCTCTATAGCTAAGTGGGTCAAGTGGATCACTATTTGACTTCGGAATAGGATTTATGATTCCTTTATTCCATTCATTAGGTGCAACTGAATTCTCAAAACAACAGTGTATTAATTTGTGGAGTAGCTTAATGCAGTGATTATTTTGTAGGACTTCAGCAGGAATAGTATCCAAACCAGCAGCTTTACCTTTCTTGAGATGATTAACAGCTATCTCAACCTCACTGAATGAAATAGGTTCATTTAAACTTGAGATATCTCTGTCTTCTTCTGTTTTCTTCAATTGAGCTATTTTTTCTATTATATTTTGATAAAATTCACCATCAAACAGTTTACTGCTCTTTTCTTCATTAGCAGAAAACAATGAATGATATGAGTCTCTCCAGTGTTGTGATACAGTGTCTGCATCAGATGTGATTTCTTCATTGTCTAACTTCATCTTCATGGGAATTTGTTTCTTCCTATCATTTGATAACCAAAGTTTACCAATTTCTCTCCAGAACTCATTACTTTTGTTTTCTTCACACATAGATAACAGTTCATCTCTTTGTTGATTTTGATACAGTCTCTTTGTTTTCCTTAGAAGCTTGTCAAATAGTTTTCTTTTACCAACATAATCTCTTCTTAAAGCTCTTTTATTGTGTTGTGAACCTGAACAAGATAACCACAGTATTTCTTTTTCACACATACAGTCCCAATTTCCCTGAAGATCTTCATTCCAATATGGTTTGAACCTTGATTTAAATCTTCTTTTGATATTATTTCTTCTACTACCCATTTTCTTTAATTTTTCATCCATTTCCTCATATATTAGGTCTGTAAAAGATTGATAGGCTTCAGATACACTTCTTTCTTCACTTAGTTGCTTCTCAATTTTAGAAATTGTCTCATTCACTTTCTTGGTAATGTTTTCATCATTAAAAAAGTTACTTGGGAGATTGTTTGTATTAAACTTGTCACATTTACTAGTCTTTGTCTCTTCTGTTCTATGGATGATCGTTTAGCTCTTGCGTGTAAACTTGACCTGTTATGACCAATCCATGAATAACCGTCTGCGGATATGGCACCACTTTTCTTAAGAAATGTTTCACACACACATGATATCATCATTCAAATAATCAACAACAGTATATCTAAAAGTGTTATTATCTCCATTTAGTGTGGACCACCCTCCTACATTCCATAAACCAAGCCTTAAGCCCTAATACCTTACATTAGCCCTAATTTTTCTTTTGGAGATAAAACCAGACTTAGAAACAGAATATTTATCATCAACACCCATTTCTTTTAGTATTGTTCTCATGTTTGTGTTCTGTTTCCTTGTCTCTAAAGGAATGTGATGTTCGATGTACACATGTTCATATTTTTTCACATTTTTTAACAGTTTCTTTGTTTTCATCACTTTTTCTTGCTCTTCAACTGTTCCCACACTTGCCACGACCACACCCGGAGCTTTACCCCGAGCAGTTTTTCTCTCTGCTGTACACAGTTCAACGTTGGTTAGTTTTAACCCATCCCGCAACAACTTCAAAACTTGATTTTTCGTCACTGTAGGATTTTCCTTCTCTCCTGCCTGCTCTGCTAGATTCTTAATGATAATAGTTCTAGCATGTTCTTCATCCATTTTCCCATCTGAACCCTTTTTCACTGCTTCTGAGTAGAGCTTACAAATCTCTTATACCCCGCCACGAGCATGTCAGGCTACACGTGGATTTTCTATATCCCTTAAACTCCGCTTCAAAGCAATGCGGAGTCACTGGAAGTCACGTGACATAAGACTAGCTAACCTTAGCTTAATAGAAAAGCTATTTTCCAGCATTTTGAATTCGTTTGAATTCTTTTACAATGTCATATTATAACATGTAGGTATGATAAATTCGTTGTAGGAGGATCACTTGGGGAATATGGGATTTTATGCGTCACTCGTAAGGTGTTATACCGGAGCCGGAGGCTCATGGTATAAAACCTAACAGTATAAAACCCCATGTACCCCTCGTGATCCTGCTACAACTTATAATATGGACTGTCCAGATCCCCATCTATCGCGCACGTCTCTCCGTTATGACTGCTGTTTCAATACATATGCTTCAAAGTTCAGTGACTGCTAGTTACAACCTATCACCCGTTTCTGGCTGAAGCAGTCAAAATGGGAAAGAGACAAAACAGGTCTTGTAGTATTCATTTACTTTATTCATGTATTTAAACAGTACAGTAAAATTAGAAACATAATTTTTTCGCTTTTTGGATGAGAACATTTTTTTTACTTATACATATTTGGCCATTCATAGATTGCTTTATGAATGTAAATCATGCGCTTCTGGAGAAGACAAGATAGACACAATTTTATGGATAACAACTTCTTTAATACTGTGAAAAGCGACGTTTCGGTAACAAGCCAACATCGACACCCACTTCACCAGCTCCAACTCCCTCAACATCCTGCTAAGAGCCAACGGCAGGAACAAAACTAATCCCAAGAGCCTAAAGCCGTAGTTTACAAAATTGACTGCAACTGTGGACAATCTTACGTAGGTAAAACATCCCGTCCAATCAACACCAGAATGAAAGAGCACAAAACCTCCACAATCAAATCCGACAGCAAATCAGCCATCTCGGACCATATCAGCAACTGTCCCAATCACATCATCAACTGGGACAACGTCCAAATCCTCGCCAACAACCTCCACGATTTCACTAAAAGAAAACTAACAGAAGCAGT